CTGCACGCCGCTGCCTCTCTGGGTCCCTGGAAGGGATGGCGGCAGGTAGGGTGATGTTCTCGCCGGGCTTTCCTCGGGGAAGGAGGAACGGGAATAGGGACAGAGTTGGAGAGGATGGGACTTGAGCTGTGGTGAATGGGTGTGCAAGGTCGTTCTTCCTCTGTCTTTACCTTTCTGACTCTTAACATACAGGGGGTTGTCATGTAACCTTTGCTCTGTTTTATTTTTTCTCCCCCCAGTAAGTCTTTTACTCCTCCCTAGGCTGTGGCTGTCTGCCCCCATGCTTTCTAGAGCCACTAAAACCACCCTTGTTTTAACTGGGACCAGCGCTTTGAAGGTTGAAGCTCACTGTTGAGCCTGGGAGGCAATGTCTGTCTTTGACCCTCCTTCCTGCGATCCCAGAGAGGTTATGCAACGCCATGGTTCTGCAGAACCTCACTTCTGAGCTTACTTCCCCCTTGCCAAGCCACTTCTTTCTGAATTGCATGACAAAGCATCTCTTTTCCCTGTTTCCCAGCGTGGCTCCTTTCAGGATCTTCTCCATTATTTTCCACGTGCCAGTAGAGAGACAGAAGTGGAGCACCAGGTGAAACATCTCAAAAGCATAGAGTCTTGCCAGGGATGCAAGGGAGGGTGAAGCCAGAAAATCATTCTGAGCATCTGTTTTTCTTCCAGGAACCTACCATGATGGGGAGAAAAACCCCATGTTTTAGCCTTGGATGACTTTTTTTTTTCCTGCAGAGAGATGAAGCTCATGTACAAACCAGCGTTTTTCATTTACAAAGGTGTTTGCACCGACATGGCTAAACTGTCCTTAAACTTAGAATGGCTAAATTATCTTCACTGCTTCTCTGCAGCTCTTATGCTTCTATCAAAGTTCACAAAAATGTATTTTTTAATATCCCCAGACTCCCATATTTCCCAAAGTGCTCTTATTGGGATGTGTGCTCATCCATATTCATCCTTCTTCCACCTGCAAGAACGATAGCAGAGCTGCCCTATCTCCAAATTAACATCTCCTGAATCAAGCAGCTGTCTGCAAGGTCTGCTTTGTCTGAGAAGAGCCAGTGTTTGCTCCTCAAAGAGTGAGAGGAGGGGTCTGTAGTGGAGGCAGTTGGACAGCTATGATGAGATTCATCACAACTTTCCTTTGTGGCATTCCCCCCTCTTTATTTTCTTCCACAGCCTCGCTTACATCCTTAGGAAAAATGGTGCTCAAGCATCTAGAGGAGAGAAGATGAGACAAGAAGTGTCCTCTGTGCCTTGTTGACTGCCAAGCCTGTCTGTGGTGTGGGTTTGGAGTGGGTCTGACGCTGTTGAAAAATCAGGACAAGCAAAAGCCTCAATTGCTTTTTAAGCACTTGCATAAAACAAGGTTGAAAACCAAGTTTTCGTGTAACCTACTAACAATCCATGGTGGTATTGCTGTCCACTTAGCTTTGTGGCTCAGGGTGCTGTTGCTCATGGTATCTGAAGGTGTTTCATGCCTGGAGCGTGTTGGTTATATCCTCTGTCCTGAGTGCAGAGGAACAGATCAAGGGGTTTTTTATGAACCCACGTCTGACTTCGCCAGGGTCCCTGTGGTGAAAGAATGCTGTTGGACAGTTGTGGCAACTGTAGGTGACTCAAAATAGGGTGCTGTGACTCTGCCTTCGGCCTGCCGTCCCAGGTAGGATGCGAGCAGGAGCTTTGCGTGTGCCTGAGGATCCTGTGCTGTCTCTTGTCATCTCAAAGCTGCCTGTCAGTCAGAGTCTGTCATCTTCTTTTCATCTTGATTTATCATCCAGCGTAACTAGGTTTCAGTGTTTCATTTTTGGGCTTGCCTCTTCCCAGGGGCAGACAGATAAATCTGGCATGCAAATGTTTTAGCGCTCTGATTCTAGGAGCGAGAGACTCTTCTGCTGCAGGGAGTGAGAGAAAACACAACCGTTGGGGCAGGGCTGCTGTTGTCTTCTCTGGGACTGGAATTGTGCAGGGGAGATTTCCAGTTTACCCAACGCCACCTCTCTCAAGGAGCCTGCATCTGCAGAGCACCAGTGCCTGGGCAGGGGGAGCACAGCTTGCCTTATTGGAAACAGTACTAGTTTAGATCTTAGTATTAGTTCATTGCTCTTTGTAACTTTAACACGTTTAATTTCTGAAAGAAGTATTTAAGGAAAAACAGAAGTTATGAATTCTAGCTGCTTAAGCTGAAGACTTCTGCGTATTGTTTAGGGCATCCACAGGAATTCTGTTCCTTCAGTGCTCCCTGCCAGAAAAGCACTTGTTGGGGCAGAGGCCCGTGGGTCTCTAGCCAAAGAGACACCCTGAGGATGGGGTGCCAGCCTGGAAGTTCCCCTGAACTGGTCCTGTTAGTGCTCTGGTGCGGAAAGCGGGGCTTTGAGCCAGTTACGAGAGTGAGTTTGGGGGATGGAAATAGGTCACTCTTCACTCTGCTGAGTAGAGGAGGTGGAGATTTACAGTCTAGTGTGCCAGGGAAGAGGTGTGAGACTTCTGCAGTTACATCTAGTCCAGGTATGGGACCAGCTCGGGACTGGGCCGCAGAGGCTGACCACCTCTCCCAAGCGCGAGGGAAAGGAACGGTCTTAGTGTATTTCCAGAGCTGCCTAACCTGGTTCATCTTGTTGCTCAGGGCATCTTCTCCTCTTCCTCGCAGCCTGTGCAGCCTGGGGGGGGGAGTGCAGTCACATCACCTGGAACACAGCTCTTGCTGGCTATCTTGCTGTAGCAGATACAGCTGGCAAGCATCTCCCCTCTGGGGAGCAATGGGGGAGGCACAACAGCCGTACCTGTGTTCACAGCGCCCCTCGCTCGCTGGCTTGAGTGAAGGTGAGGGGAATGGCACACCCCCAGAGCGATAAGCTGTGGCTTTCCGTAGCCCTCTGTGGCTGCCCTTGGGGAAGTAAACAGAGCCCCGCACTCCCAAAGCGGCCTGGCCCTCGTGGTGCTGTGAAGGAAGGGATCTGCTGTCATCGGTCCGGTGTTGCGGAGAGCTGTTTGGCTTGCCCTGTCAGTGGGAAGCAGCTGGAAGCGAGAGGTTTCCTGAGGCAGCCCGAGATGCAATGCGGCGTGTGGCTCAGTAAGGGCTCAGCACGAAGCTGGTGTTTGCTGCAGGAGGAAAAGGAGGATTGTTGTGAGAGGAGAAACTGGGTTTTGGAGAGTGCTGGGAGTGCGCGGGAGGCAACGTTCAGCGTAGGTTAATCTGGTCTCGCTGGGGACGGAAGAGGCAGCGTTCACTAACTGGTCTGTAACTATCCTTCCTAGTCCCGTCCCTGGCAGGGTTTCCCACCTCCAGCTGCCTGTGTCAGGCAGAGCAGTACTGGGCCCAGAGCAAGCCAGTGTCCTTGTCACCCCACCATGAGCCTGCCTGGCTCCCAGCACCGGTGTCCAGCCTCCTACGGGCTTGGCTGCAGGACTGTGTGCCGCTCTGTTTAATTCCTCTGTATTTGTATTGATGCCGTTCAAAGTCGTCCATAGTAGTGGTCTCAGCATTTTGTTATTTTTCTTCATTACTTGATAATTCACAGCTCTGCTCCAGTGCCTCAAACCAGTGCAGGAGGCAGCTCTGCGCAAGCCACAGTGCCCCGTCCGTTGCCAGCACCAGACTGTAAATCGTGCTGCTTGCTGCCCTGCCAGGCAGGTTTTTATCCCCTGTTCCTTGTTAACTCCAGCAGCTGATGATCATCTTTCCCAGGTTGATGTGATTTCTGTGACACCAGAATTAGTTTTCTGCTGGTTTTATGTGCCATGCTAGGAATAACAGTCTAGCAGTGACTGCTTCTGGCTCAGGTTTCCACCAGCAGAGTAAATACGGGCATTAGCCCGATCTCCTCAGTTCATTTTTGTCCATAGCACATTGCTGCTTGTGATAAGCTTTGTAAAATGTTGGTAGGCTTTTCCCTGACATAAGTGAAGGGTAGAGGAGCAGACTTTGTGCCTAGAAGTGATGAATTTTAATAGCAGTCTTTGAGTGCTGCTTTAGTCCCTTCCAGACTGGCTTTACCCTGGGATTAACTACAGACAGCCCGTTCCTCCTGCCCAAGAAGTGGCTGGCTAGTTCTTGCTCTGTCGTGCTTGATAGATCACAGGGACAGAAAAGCTTGGTAGTGGCTGCTGCTCCTGTGCAGCTGCCTGTGCACGTAGAGGAGGTCTTGGAAACATTAGTCCAGTGGCAAATGTGCAGGAATATTACAGAGGTTGACTGCAGCCAGGTTGAATCTTTTCTTCCTTTAGAGGTCGGAGCTCAAACATCTCCTACGCCGTTTTTAAATAGTGATGTTTAGCCAAGGTGCGTGGCAGAAGCATCCACGGACTTGAGACCCTTGAGGGCGATGGACTCGGCTGGCCGTGCTAGGCGTTACGCTTCTGCAGGGCCCAGAGCAGCTGTTTGCTGTCGGGGGGGAGTGGGAGGATGAGTCCCTGCGGGAAGGAGACTGGAGGGAGGCGTCTGCCCAAGGCAGTCTCCAGCCCATTCCCTTATCTGCTGCCTAGCCCTGAAAGCAAGCCGTGATTAATTCCTGTGCACCTTGCCTTTGATGTACCGCCTGCTCCAGAGATAAGGAGATGCTCTGGTGGAGCAGGAGAGAGCTGGTGCCAAGGCTGCCGGTGCCGATGGGAGGAGGGTCGCGGGGAGCGCAGACCTGGGCTTGACCTGAAACCTTCTCTCTCTCCAGCTTTCATCTTCATGATTATTCTGGCCCTCATCCGCATCAGCAGAGGCCAAGCTGAAGGTCACCCGTCCATGGCCCAGCTATCGGGCATCCGCAATCTCTTTGGGGTGTGCGTCTACTCCTTCATGTGCCAGCACTCCCTGCCATCCCTCATCACACCCATCTCCAAGAAGAAGCATGTCAACAAGCTCGTGCTGCTCGATTACATCCTGATCCTGGCTTTCTACAGCCTCCTGTCCTTCACTGCCATTTACTGCTTCCGCAATGACACCCTCATGGACATGTACACGCTCAACTTCACCAACTGCGAGATCATCAACGTTGCCTTCATCCGTTACTTCCTCGGCCTCTTCCCCGTCTTCACCATCAGCACCAACTTCCCCATCATTGCCGTGACCCTGCGCAACAACTGGAAGACCCTTTTCCACAGAGAAGGGGGGACCTACCCGTGGGTGGTGGATAGGATTGTCTTTCCTGCCATCACGCTGATTCCCCCAGTGCTGGTGGCTTTTTGCACCCACGATCTGGAGTCCTTGGTGGGGATCACGGGAGCCTATGCTGGGAATGGGATCCAGTATCTCATCCCGGCTTTCCTGGCGTACTGCAGCCGGAAGGACACTCAGCTGGTCTTTGGCAGCGGGACGGTTAACAAGCACCTCTCCCCTTTCCGGCACACCTTCTGGATTGTGTTCGTGCTCATATGGGGCTTTTCTTGCTTTATGTTTGTGACTGCAAATATTGTCCTGAGCGAGCCAAAACTCTGAGGTGGGGGTAGCAGCACGCTCCCTCCTGGGCTCCAGAGACCTCAGCATTTCAGCTCCCCCTCTGGGACTGTGGATGGGGGAGAGGCAGCAGGAAGGGAAGTTTCCAGGCCGTCGGCTTGGTGGCACAGGTTAGACCTGGACACGGACTTCCTTCACTCCATTTTGGGTGTGGATGGAGTGGACTCAGCCTTGTTACAGTCCTGGTTCTCAGACCTGCTATACAAAGCCACGGGGCTGAGCCCTGGGCAGCCTGAACGATTAACCAGTGTCCAGCCATTTCTGCCTTCAGCTCTGTTGGAGCATCGCTCGCTCTGTCCCTACAGTGGCTCTCCGTGTGCTGCAGGTCTCGGCACACAGGAGAGCCGACAGCCTTGGCTGCTCACGACACTAATCGGCTAAATGTCCCTTCTCCCCACAGCGGGGACGTGCTGCTCAGACTCCGGCAGGAGTTTAGGAGAATTGAGTCTCTTCTTTCTGCTGAGACCTCTCCAAACCAACCTCCTGTGCCAGCTGAGGGAAGAAATTAGGGCGGGGAAAAGACCTAATTCAGAAGAAAATAATTTTGTGCTCTGTTACACTTTCTTTTTCTAGAGGCATTAACCTGTTTGTACACCATGGATTGCCTGGGACCTGGGATCTTTTGCCTAGAGCTGGATTTCTCCAGCCCAGGAGTTTACATTCACACTTCTCATCCTGTTCTCCTGTGCTGTGGCAGCCCCAGCCGGACAGAGCAATGCCCCCCTACGCATGCAGGGGTACAGCTCTTCGCCCCTGGAAAGGAAACTTCAGCCTTGCTTCCCTCGGCTTCTGCATGCAGCTCTGCAGCTTCAGCTGGCAGAGCCCTTCTCCCTTTCCCGCCTTTGCAGGAGGCTGGTACAACCCGCCAGACCCTGACTCCAGTGGTCAGGATTGGCGTTGGCTGGGGAAGGCGCTAATTACCCAGTCCTGACACGTGTGAGGCCTGCAAGAGCCCTGGCTGTGCACGCCGAGGCGTTTCCAGCCTCCTGCGCTGGGTAATGAGCCTTGAAACAAGGTGGGTGTTAACTGGAGGGAATGGGCCGGTGCCAGGCGGAGCGGCGGTGCCCTGGCTCAGCCCTGCCAGGGCTACGGGGGAGCAGAAACTGAAACCCTACTGGAACTGGGCCTGAATCCCCACCTCTTCTCTTTCTGCGCAGAGTTGTGGTGGGATTTGGGCTGGTCCTGCCCGGCTTGTCTGAGAATTGGGCTGCCTGTTACCTTAGGCAGCCAGTGCTCCAGGTGAGTCTCTACTTTTGAGGCTACTGGTGGCGTCGAACAGCGTTGGGTGCTGTGCTCTGAGGCCCTTGGGCAAAGATCGTACGGGTTTTCCCAAAGCAAGGAAGAACTTTAAAAGTTCTCAACTCAAATATTTTAAACCCCCCCCCTTATTAAAGCGGGTTCAGAGCCAGGTGCATGTCACTTATGTTAGATCCTCTTGCCCTCTGCACTTGCTGCAGTATTAAGTGTCACCGCTCGCTAAAGCAAGCTTTGAACTGCAGCTCTTTTTAATCAAGCTCTGTTTTCAAGTAGGACTTTCTGGTTTCCATATGACCTGAAGTGCTCCTCCTGGGGGAATATGCAAGTACCTGGAGCTGTATAAAAATACTTCATGGCTTTTAAAGCAAAACCCTGCACCTCTCGAGCCTGAGCTCCGCCACTGTGTCCTTGCCGAGCTGCTTGGAGAGGATCCGGGGGAGGGACCATTTGCCTCTTCTCCAGCTTGATCCTAACCAGGCATTGGCAGCCCTCTCCAGTGAGTTTAAACATCCCCAAGTGCCCCGGGGAAGTTGGTGTGGCATCTTCAGTGCCAAATTAACAAGTTACTTTACAGGTAGCTGGTGTCTCTTTCAGGAAGAGGTAGGTTGGAGGGCAAAGTCATCGGGCAGCTGAGCTGGGAGCCACCTGCGAGGCAGCTGGGAGCTGGGCAGAGCCAGAGGGAGGAACTGAACGCTGATGAAATGAGCCTTTGGAAAGCTGGAGAGGCTGCGGGGGCTGTTCCTCCGCACAAGTGCACACGTGTGGGTTTATGGAGGGGGCTGAGGCCTTTCCTACACCCTCTCCCTCGGCTGCCTGTGCTTCGCGAGGCCCTTGGCTCGGCCTCCCTCCTTTCAAGTGCCCATTTCAATCTCTTGCCTTCCCATCTCGTTGCCAGCCAGGGAACGGGGTTGTTCTCTGTTATTTCATCTCTCATCCTCCCTTCCCCTCTCAGAGCTGCCCTTGGTCTCCCTCCCTTTCTGCCCCTGTTTCATGCAGGGTCGCTTCCCCCTTGCCTTGCCTGGGCCGGGAGGAGGGACGGAGCCCAGCCTGGCACACCCCCTCCTGCCATCTCTTACACTTCAAGACGTGCCTTCTCTTCCCTGGCCTGGGTGACCCCCTCTCCTGTGGCAGTGACTCCTACGGGCCTTAGCTCTGAGAGCTGCTTGGATCCAGGTTTGGGAGACAGGGGCAGGGGGGGGGCTTGGAGGCTGGCGCCCGCCTTCGCTGTGGTACCTTCCCGAGGAGGACTCTGGTCCCCAGGGGGCACGAGTGCTTGCTTAAATAAATAACCACGAACTGGCCGACACCTGCTGTCCTTGCACAGCAGCAGAACAAATCTATCTGAGGAGCTGGGGTGAGTAAGGGAAAGAAGCTGTTTGGCGCAGAGAACATTTTGCACGTAAAACATGACATAGCAATGCCTTAAAAATGGAGAACGGGGGAAGGGGAGGTCTCAGTGGAGCCATCGCTGGCTGGGGGTGATGCTGGGTGACCCTGGCTCGGCGCAGGGCAGGAGCTCCCTCCTCTCTCCATCACGAATGAGTCTCTTTATTTGGCTGTTATCAACACTAACAAGTCATTATTACAGATTTTCACGTGATGCTTTGTCTGGACTGTAATTAGTTTTCAAAAAAATGGAATTAAACAAATAAAATGCACATTATACCTCTGCTTTAGTCTGGCTTCTCCTTCCACCCCCTTCCTCCTCTCGTGCAGGCAGTGAGCAGCTCTTCCTGGAGGGGATGGCCGTGACTGATGGGGCTGCAGGCCCAGGAGAAATGGCAAGCGGAGAGGCTAATGGAGACCCTCACCTTTTCTTCTCTATTAGCCTCCTGCAACTCTGGGTGGTAGCTGCAAACTCAATTAAAACATCTGTACTTTCCCTTTCTCAATTACGACTCCTTACACTTAAAACCAAACAAATTGAATTGCTCCACCGCCTCGGGCTGCAAAGGCAGTTTCTGCCAACAAATTTATTATCACCATAAAGCGCAGCTTGATTTATGTTAAAATATTAAAACAGATCTTTATGATGGAAATAAACACTTTCTGCTGTGATTCTCTCGAAGGACCTCACAAGCAGCGGAGGATTTTGGGGCTTGGGCTGTAAATCTGAGATCAAACTGGCATCGGGGATGGATTGGGTCTTCTGCAGCACTTTGAAGAGCGATGGCCAGGGCAGGAAAAATTAAAAACCTCGAGCCTGAAAGCACGTTTAGACAAGGCTTGAACAGGGCCAAGGAGCAGCATGTCACCTGGGGGG